ATAAATTATTTCAATACCTCTCCAATGACATTGGCATTGTGCTTACAGCTCAGCAGCTACCTTGGCACTGATAAGATGCATTTGAAGTAGTGACACCAGGGGAATCACTTTTGAAACTGAATCATGTTTTTCAGTTGATATCTCTCATTACTTCTTCAAATGGTCTCATTTGACCAGTCTTCCTCACTTAAGCACTGTGAGGTCTTTCCAAGAAAACAGAGGACTGTAGTAATGGCTTCTTTCTGCTCAAATGTGACCCTGGAGCACAAAACCAGTCTTAAGTTGCACGGGTATGTTTGTAGCAACAGCCAAAAATGTATTGTATGGGTCAAAATGATCGATTTTTCTTTTATGCCAAAAATCATTTGAATATTAAGTAAAGATCATGTTCCATAAATTTCCTACCGTAAATATATCAAAACTTCATTTTTTATTAGTAATATGCATTGCTAAAGACTTAATTTGAACAATTTTAAAGGTGATTCTCTCAATATTTTTATTTTTTGCACCCTCAGATTCCAAAATATTGTCCTATCCTAATAAACAATACATTAATGGAAAGCTTATTTATTTAGCTTTCAGATGATGTATAGATCTCAATTTCGAAAATAATTGACACTTAAGACTTAAGAGGTTTTGTGGTCCAGGGTCACAAATAGTCTCTCAAACATATAAAACACAGAGTTCCACCTTGTTTCAGCTGATTGTATCAGTTTGTGTTCTGGAGACTTTAGTTGTTTCTGAACTTCTTTGAGCCTCTCTGCTGCTCTTGTGCTGTGGTGAAAGAAAGCTACAATAGCACTGCATCTCTGCTGGATGTCAAGAAGATCTGGGAGAGATTTAATGTCTTTTACTACCACATTTATGGTGAGTGCAAAACGCGGATAATATGCCAAACCTGCTTTGCACACAGCAGCAACCATATTGGCACCATTGTCTGTTATGCCCCATTCATCAGTGACTCTTTTTAATTGTGAGCAAATGTTGTCAGAACTGTGTTGTCCTGAAAAACTACAGGTTTCTAGGACATAGGCTTGCATTTACCAGTTCTCATCAATAATATGCATGAGACAGTTAAATAAGCCTCTGTGGCTCTTGATGTCCGCATGTCTGTTCTAAGTACAGCACTGTTTGCACCATCTAGAGATTTTGTTCACTTTTGAACCACACTCTACATACATTGTTGGTGTTTTCTCTTCCATTAAATGTTTCCTACTTGGAATCCTGTAACGTGGACCGAGTGTCCAGAAAAAAATCCTAAAACCCTCATCTTCGACCACAGAGAGAGGTTGCAGGTCCTTTGCAATCATTTCAGAAAGGCTCCTTGTAATATCCATAGCTCTTGGGGTATCACCTATAGGTGAAATAGCAAAATAATTAAGTCTAGCCTAAAGCATATCTTGCCTATGTAGCCAAAATATGGGAATCCAATAGTGTCTCTTTTTTGGTCTATTATGACCAATGTTCTCTTTTTTGTGTTGTTTTATGTGTTTGTGTAAGTTGGCGGTGTTGCCACAGTAGACTTTCTGCACACATCACAGTTCGCAATGTTTTCATTCACTGCTGTAAAATAACTCCACATGACACTTTTCTTTCTTTGTCATCTCATCCAGAGCAGAAGAAAGTGTTTGTGCTTGGTGCCATTGAGTCACATGATGACAGAACAACTAAACACAGCAGAGCAGGGGAGAAGAAACGTGTGTATGAGATATGAAAGGAGCGGCGTATTCAGAGACGTGTCTGCTCTTTGATGAAACCAGAGCAATGGACTTGTTGCGTAGATTAGAGAACTTTAAACTAAAGTATGGGATCTCGTCAGGATAATATCGATCCGATATCAATACCAACGTTGGTATCGATACTATCAATATTTGGATCAATCTGCCCAACCCTATCCTCCTACATTAACTGAAATAAGCTGAAAAAAGTATAATGTTTACAAATGCAATATCCATAGAAACACTATGACATGTTCCTACCAATATCCGACTTCTGAATTTTTCCCAGCAATAATCAAAAACAGTATCATAGTTACTAAACTATTTCTTATGATTTTAAATCTGCATTTACCCTCAGAATGATCTCAAAGTACAAAGAGGTGCTAAAGTCTGATTTCGTGGTGGTTGCGCTTTAAAATTTGTATTATCTTAATTCAAGTGATGGAGGATTTTGAAAGTCTGACAGTAATCAGTGTTCTGTACTACTCTGGTTTAAATGTTAAAAAATTATTAGCATTTGAAAACATTCATTAGAATCTTAGAAAAGTAATCAAATGTAATCAGTTACGTTACTTTAATGAAGTAGCCTAATTGAAATAGTTACACTACTTATTACATTTTAAATAGGGTAACTTGAGAGACAATGGTATCAGTCCTGCTAGGTTGAATTTTACAATGGAGAAAATGTTTGTGGAGCTGTGGCAATAATACTCCTGCATTTATGATATTTTCTCGAGGGATTACTGTGACAGAGTGAAAAAGATCAAGTAAAAACTATTTGCCCTCAGTTCTCTTTAACAGTCCTCTTATTTGAACGAATGATTTGACATCCCAAGCATTTTCCCGCTGTGTGTGGAGTTTAAAGACGCTCCCTTAAGCTCTACAGGTGAGCAGTGACGCCATCATTGTTTTTCGTGTCTCAAATAAAAGTGAAAGTAAATGTTCAGAGTTGAGGTTTCTCCATTTAAACAGCCAGAATCGCTTCTATACGGAATATCAAAGTGTTTCATAGGAACCTTTATAAAAGCTAAGCCATGATTAACGTGCAACTGCTTCATAGAAAGCTGGTGATTTTGTGAATCTGTGTAAATAAGGTGAGTGCTGATGCTCAGGTGCTTTACAGTGACGTCCGCATTCATATTTCCTCTAAAGGACATATATTTTTATATATTTTAATGTTTTCTTTTTCAAGCAGATGAACGTGGTTTGATTGGTGTTTGGTGTTGTCTGTGGTTTATTTGATCATTTGTTAACAATTAACAATTAATTTAAAATGTAGGTGGGACAGTTTCTGGGTCGTATCCATGAGCACACAGGGAACTGGGTTATTTAACAAAACAAACACAAACAAACTATTTACATAAACAATTTTTTTATCGTTTTTGTTTATTTATTGAATATTGTTCTTGATATTATTCATTTTATTTGTAGGCATACTTTGGCTATTCTTTCCCTTTCTAGAACATAGACATTGTGTAGGCTATATTTACAGGCTATTCACATGAGCATGTTAAAACTAAATTATTTATGCTTTCATTCTAATTTTATAATTTATTGGTACAAGAATTGGGCCCGCCGTTGCATATTAGCAATTTTTTCGATGGCTGCTTTGTTGAATTCGAGGATATGTTAAACATTTTTCTACTGAAAGCATCACCAAAGCATTAAGTCTTTCCTGGGACTTTGTGTTTCGCAGAAATGTTTGAGTTCGTATAAGTGTGGAGAAACATCTCTCAGACTCGGCAGTTGTCATTGGTGTTGTTATCAGTGCACGTAGGAGTAGGAGTACACTTTCTGTGAGCACATCGTTCAAATTATTTCTGTTTATAAATGTGAAAAATGTGGTTGCACCTCCACACACACGGAAGACTGGATTGTCATAAATCAGCGAGAGCTCTGTGTGGAGTCATTGTTCATTTATCATGCATGCATCTACAGCCTTTTTCAAGATCTCTTTAGGGATTTTTTATTTTATTTTTGAAAATTCATAGTAACGCGAGTTGTCAAATAAGATTGCAGCTGACAGATGACCTGTGAAATCAAACCTCTCTTTGGAATTGGCTATTACAGTGTCGCAAACTTCATATGCGATCTGCTGTGAATTGGGTGCACACTTTCGTTTAGGCTGAGCATCCGTGCTATATTTTGCGCACAGAGATGGAATATCATCATGCATTTTGCCTATGGAGTCCACAAAACTTCTTGTAACTCCGTGTGCCTCTACTGCGTCAATTCCTCACATTTGAAGCTGTGCATAAAGGATGTCAACACGGGGCATAATTAAATGAAACAGATCCAAAAAGAAGAGAAATGTGTGATCGGAAAGCATTCAACAGAAACCTTTAGCCTCCCTTAACAGTGATTGAATCAAAGCCTTGAGATGACTGGATAGATTCAAAACATTCCAGTAGAATGGCTTGATTTTCATAAACTGTACTGACAGCACGGCTGCTAAAATTCCACTGTGTCTAAGATTATATTTGACACACTGTAAAGTATTTGTGAAGTGAAAAACACATCATCCAAAAACGTCTGAAAACACAATAAGTCAGACAAAATGTAAAAATTAGGTATTGTTTGTGAATGGAATACTTACTATTGATTGGATGAGACAACTGTTAATCAAGATACAGAGATACAGAAAGTAAAACACTATGTGGCTTTGTTTCTTGTTCATGTGTGGACTTCTGTGTTCATGTTAAACTGGTTTCTGCATTAGCAACACTTTTAAATGTAATGTCTGTTTACACTAAGTGCATCTGTTTATAATGAGTAGAATCATATAAAGAATGTTATTACGTACTGTTTTGTAAAGCACTGCAATACATTGAGGTGTAAGTACTATCTGCCACAATTTACACTAAGTATAAATAATATCTCACAGTGTAGGTGATCTCAGGTTTTGCTATCCTTGGGTGATGGAGGAGAAACACACACACCAGTACTCCATACATATTAATACAGATCAAAATAGCACTATAAAGATCAGCTGTGTAATGAATAGTGTGATTAAACTGATTTGTCTTCATAAGACAGATAGTTTGGTTAAAAATACTAACAATTAATAAATATTTAATATATTAAGTGCAATAAATAAATATTATTTATTTTTCTTGAATGAGGCTTTAAATGATTTATGATCATGTTTTTTTGTTCTTTGACATTTTAAATCTCAGTCCAATGATGTATCATACATTGATTTGTACTTTCTCTTTATTAATGGATTCACAGCTAAACTGATCTGATCTGAGAGACTGAAGAGTATGTCATTGTTCTCTACAGGTTGAGTGATTGTGGTGTCACAGATGAAGGTTGTGCTGCTTTGGCTTCAACTCTGAGATCAAACCCCTCACACCTGAGACAACTGTATCTGTCTGGAAATAAACTAGGATATTCAGGAGTGAAGTTACTCTCTGATCTGAAAGATGATCCACATTATAAACTGGAGACAATATACTATTGTGAGTATATTAGTATTTAAATCTTTTAAAATGTCCAAACTTTTGCAACAGGCCTCATATGTGTGTAACTGGAGAATATAAGAAAATAATTCAGCTCCACTTTAATCTCTGTACTTTAAACTGTGTTTAATTCTGTGATGATCTATAAATAAATGAATATTTTCATCTCACATGTGTGTAAATGATAAAGAGAGAGTTGTTGATCATTCACTGTTATTAATCTCTGATCTCTGATCAGTTGTTCATTCATATGCCTGGCTGTAATATGAATATACTGTGTGTTTTTCTGAAATGGATCTGCTGATGTGATGTGACAGCAGTAATGTCTCATACTCATATGTGACTGTCTGTGTGTTTTATTGTAGGACTCTCAGTATTTAGACGTCAGTCCAGTTTCCTCAGGATCAGCTGATGGCGAATAAGAGCCACTACAGAGACGTCACAGTCACACAATCAGCAGAGACTGAAGACACAGAGACACACAGCATCACACTGTCATGTTTGTCGTCTTTCACTGTCTTGTTTTATAGGAAGTGCAGAATCAATTTGGATTCACTAGATATTGTCTACAATGTAGATCATGGGTGTCAAACATACAGCCCACAAAGATGTCCAATCTGCCCCCCGGGATTATTTGAACAATAATATAAAATACTAAAAAAAACACAATGAAAATTAAATAAGGTGTATTTGTGTCACAAACTGCTCCAAGACATGGGTTGAAGTTCCAAACGCAGCTTTAATAAGGGTAATCCACAATCGTAATCCAAATACATTTACATTTAGTCATTTTGCAGATGCTTTTATCCAAAGCGACTTACAATTGGGGAATACATAAAGTGATTTCTTAAAGAGGCAAACAGACACAGGAAGTGCTCGTAATACCAAGTTTCAGGCATTGTTTACATAAGTACAAGCTAGAAAGGGAAGCAATGATAAAGAAAAAGGTATATTTTTTTTTAGGATGAAGTAAAGTAGCGTTGAAAGAGATGAGTTTTCAGCTGTCGCCTGAAAAGTGTCAGGGATTCAGTATTCCGGATAGGGGTGGGAAGATCATTCCACCAGCCAGGAACGGTGAACGAGAATGTTCTGGAAAGTGATTTTGTGCCTCTCTGTGATGGTACCATGAGGCGTCGCTCACTAGTGGATCTCAGACTTCTGGAGGGGATGCAGATTCATAGTAGTGAGTGGAAGTAGGCGGGTGCTGAGCCTGTGGCTGTTCTATATGCAAGCATCAATGTCTTGAACTTGATGTGAGCCGCAACCGGGAGCCAGTGCAGGGAGACAAAGAGAGGTGCGACATGGGCCCTTTTGGGCTCGTTGAAGACCAGTCGTGCCGCTGCATTCTGAATCATTTGTAGAGGTTTGATTGTGCTTGATGGAAGTCCAGCCAGAAGAGTATTGCAGTAGTCCAGCCTAGAAATGACAAGGGCCTGGACAAGAAGTTGTGCAGCATACTCTGTTAGAAAGGGCCTGATCTCTCTGATGTTGTGCAATGCAAACCTGCAAGATCGAGCGGTCTTTGCAATGTAGTCTTTGAAGGTCAGCTGGTCATCAAAGATTACACCAAGATATCTGACTGAAGTTGGAGTAATTGTAGAAGGACCTAGATGGTGAAATCATGCTGTAGATTTGGAGTGGCAGGGAAGACAAGAAGCTCAGTCTTTGCCAGGTTGAGCTGTAGGTGATGTTCTTTCATCCATGTCGAGATGTACACCAGGCAGCCTAAGATCCGTGCAGCTACCGTTCGATCATCCGGTTGAAATGAGAGATAGAGCTGTGTATCAGAATCAGAATCAGAAAGAGTTTTATTTCCAAGTATGCTTGCGCATACAAGGAATTTGTTTTAGTGACATAAGCTTCCAGTACACAGAGACAACAACAACACACAGACAAAAAAAAATCTTCAGCATAGCAATGGTTGGAGAAGCCATGTGCCTGTATGATGGGACCCAGTGATGTAGTGTATATGGAGAAGAGGAGGGGTCCAAGAACTGATCCTTGAGGAACCCCAGTGACCAGTTGATGTGCTTTGGATACCAATCCGCAAGGCTTCCGTGACTGACAATAGTGCAGTCTCAGTTGAATGGCCACACCTGAAACCTGACTGGTTAGCATCCAGTTTGTTGTTCTGTGAAAGAAACAATGATACCTGGTTGAAAACAACTAATTCGAGGGTTATCGCTATGAAAGGAAGGAGAGAGACAGGTCTGTAGCTGTCTATAAGAGAAGTGTTTGACGTAGGTTTTTTGAGCAGCGGGGTTACCCAAGCCTGCTTGAATGCAGTGGGGAAGGTGCCTGCGAGGAGAGATGTGTTGATGATGTGTGTGATTGCTGGTAAGAGTGCAGGAGAGATTGCTTGGAGAAGGTGTGAGGGGATTGGGTCCAGAGGGCATGTTGTAGGATGGCAGGAGAGGAGAAGTTTGGATACTTCTGCCTCAGTGAGGGGGCAGAAGGAGAAGATGGGAGTTTTAGCAGTGGGTGTGGTTGGTTTGAGGTCCTGTGTGTGTGGAGCTGAGAATTGACTACTGATTGTTCTAGTTTTGACTGTGAAGAATGTGGCGAAACCATCAGCTTTTATAGAAGTGGTGGAGGGGGACAGAGGAGGAATTTAATGTTTTGAAGAGATTACGTGTGTCTAGAGCGCTGTTGATCTTGTTGTGGAAATATGAATATTTGGCAGTATGGACTTCAACAGAGAAAGATGAAAGCAAAGACTGATACATACTCAGGTCTGACGGATCTTTTGATTTGCACCATTTTCTCTCTGCTGCCCTGAGTTTGGTCCGATGCTCACAAAGAACATTGGATAACCAGGGGTTAGAAGGGGCAGCCCGTGCTGGCCTGGAGGAGAGAGGACAAATATCGTCTAGACAGTAAGTTAAAGTAGAGCATAAAGTGTCAGTTGCTGCATTCACATCCAGAGATGAGAAATGGGTAGGTGAGGGAAGAAAGGAGGATACTACAGAGGAAAGATAGGCGGGTGAAAGGGAGCATAGGTTTTGTTTAAAAGTAACCAGTATAGGGGGTGGTGGCACACAGGTAGCAAAATGTAGTTTAAATGTAATGAAGAAATGGTCAGAGATATGTAGGGGTTCTACCAAAAGTTTGTAAATACATTTTTGTAATTGTGTAAATTAAGTCAAGTTGGTTGCGTGATTTGTGCGTGCTTGTAAGTGGTAAGTCGTTTGAGATCAAATGAAGCAAGGAGTGAATGGAAGTCTATAGCATAAGGCTTATCCAGATTAATGTTGAAGTCACCAAAGACTAAAAGTGGACTGCCATCCTCCGGGAATGAGGACAGCAGCCCATCCAGCTCTTCTAGGAAAGTGCCTAGAATTTGAGAGAAAGAAAAATTGTTAGCTAGAACAGCTGGGGTTGCTGAGTCTTCTGGATGAATCCAGGTCTCAGTCAAGCCCAAAATGCTGAGTGTGGATTGTAAAGAAAAAGCCGAAATGAAGTCTGCTTTGTTGACAGCTGACTGACAATTCCAGAGAAAGAAAGAGGTGCAGTAGAGGATGCAGAGAGAGGGTGCAGGTTAGCAAGACTGCGTTGTCGTCTGCTTGTGATGTTAGAGCGTTGTTGAGAGACAACTGTAATGTATTAGAAACACATGATAGAGGTGGGAAATAGAGGGCAGAAAAGCAGAGTGTGTAAAGGGAGGATAAAAAAAAATACTTAAGTGCGTTGCTTGGTGAAGTCGCGCAGGTCAAGTTGCAGGTCTTTACACTCGCCGGTCTTCACACCAGGGGGCTGAACACGAGGGCTGAACGCTTCCACTGACGTGGCACAGACATCAACTGAATACACAGTCTAAGACACTACAGTGAAAACAGCTGTGGCCACCTTCTAATTAGCACAGCCAATAGCCTATAGCTGGGCAATTGCTCAAATCGAAACTACAGTTGGCACTTAAGTGCAGGAAGGGAGCAATGCCGATAACACAGGCTCCTTCTAAGCCGACGGCTATTATTATAATTACCAGTAAGTGCAATCAAAAATACAAACAGCGAAAATACAAAGTAGAAATAGGTAGAAAACACAATATGCCTTCCTAGCAGCAAGTAATAATTTAAACAACAGATCTACAAACAAGTATTAAGCAAAACACTCATGCGCTGCCGTCCATCTCTTCTATTGACTAATCGCTTCTCCAGGCTAAGTACCAGGCAAAGGGTCAAACAATCCAAACAACAGAGCCACAAGATCAAAACCATAACACATGTAAACAGAGAGAGTGCTCAGAAATGCAGTGTAACACAAACAAGACTTCACAATGAGAGTGTTACGTTTCCGGTCCATGAACTTCCGTCTGCTAGCCATCAGAGGTCACCCTTTCCATTTTCATTGACTCTCGAACTACACACTGTTGCATATCACCCCGGACTACATATCCCATCATTCATTGTACTGATTGCACACAGCACTGATTGCACACAGCTGTTTCATATCACTCACTCACTATTTAACACTCCATCTCACTCCTTCTAACTGCCGAGTATTGTATGCACTTATCGCCAGCAGTGATAGCTACTCTACAGAGCCCTCGTTAGCTTTCTAGCCTAGCCTAGCCTAGCCTGTTTTTCGGTTTCTGATCTTTGCCTGTTTCCCTGGATTTATCCCTTTTAGTCTTGCCCTTTTGATTCTGTTCGCCGTTCGTTGACCTTCGCTAGCCCTAGGACTATTCTTGTGTCTTGCCCGCCATATACCTGTTTGCCATTGTTCGACCCTGCCTGTGTTTCAGACCTCTCCGCTTTAATAAAGCTTGTACATGGATCCGCATGTCTCACGTCTCGTCAGCCCCGTTACAGAGAGAGTGAAAACTTAGGGCTTATATAGGTAACAAATATTATATAAATATATTATAAAAAGAGGGACGCACGAGGGAGCCAGAAGTAGAACAGAGAAGTTATTAACAAATCAATCTATAACAAAAAAAAGAACAATGTAGAATGTAACAGTCAGGAATTTGCTGTCCGTGCCCCTAAGCTTAAGCTGTTGTTTACCCTCTTCATATTTAAGGAGAGAACCAATGTTGGACATCTCTTATAATTCTCAAGAGTGTAGATATTAGTAGAAACACGATGACATGTCCCTAAAAATATCAGACACTACTAAATTGTCTCTAGCAATTATTTTGATCCCCACAAATGCCAAAAATCAAACCTACACCCTTGGTGAAGTTACATGTAAAGTATCACCACTGCAGGATGTTTCACAGTAGGCTTCAATAGCGATTGTGTGTGGTACAGATGTGCTACAGCATCACGAGACATGAACAGTTCTTTCTTAAACACCAAATAGCATATATAGTGAACATTAATGTCATTCATCATAATAACAAATCAATGCTGAGTCTATGAGTTTGCTTGGTTGTGCTCCAGAAAATGGCGTCATTTCAGAATTCTATACTGCAAAAATAATGTGATTAATAAGTACATATGTAATAACATATATTTTTTCCACATTATTTTAACGCATCAAATTAATTGAACAAATTTCAGCTTCATTTGTAAGTGAAGGA